GGGATGTAACGCATGGTAGAAAGGCAATGTGAAGGTTACAGAAAGAAACTGACAATGGGCAGGAAAGAGAAGTCAGAGTTCTCAAAGCAATGCTCTCTCTCGGTGTCGGACGATGATGTTGCTGACAGCGCAGGAGTGGGTGGCAGCAAAAGCCGGTGTATGTGATCTGCTGAGGTTTGGAGTTGCTTGTTGTCTGATTAGCATCTCTGGTGACTCTTTGAGAGTGACTGTCATTGATTAGAATCTGTTGCTTTGGGCTATATGCAGCATAACTTTTGCAAAGTGAGTTAACCCACCCTGTACAAAGAGAAGTGGTTGAATTTGGCACCCTACCTAGCGATTGCAATTACCCTGCATAAACAACTGTGACTAAAAGGGCTTCATTAGTACAGTACATGTAGAAGCCACAACCACAAATCAAAGAACAAGATCCACCTGCACTCAGGATGAAAGGGACTACTCATCACTCCCCAACTTTATCACACCTCACAATCACACTCTTGGACAATAATTCCCGGCAGCAGGGGCACCATCTTCGGATTATCGAGAAGAGCTCTGTGTGTGTGTATGTGTTTGTCTGCATGCACACACATGTGTATACTTAGATGGTGAACACTGCAGGAGTGCAAGATTAAACTAGAGCATCTTTTCTAATGTTAAATTTCTAATCTTTGCTATATAAAACTTGCTAATTTAACTATAACTATTTGATTGGTACCCTTAACGCAAATTCAGTTTTTTGCATAATTCTATATAGTCACCAACTAAACTTTTCCTTACTTCATTGTCCAGTGTCCTATTGCAGCAGACATTGAATTTATCCATGGTAAAACCAAAAAAGAAGACAGGAGGACAGACAGAAAGACAGACTGAAAGACAAAGACAGCAGAGAGGAAAGGATGGAGGGAGGAAAAGCAAATCCTAAATAATTGGAGACCACTCGGAGAAGAACCACAGCAGGAGTGCTAAGAGTACTGTTAACGCCCTAACTCTCCGAGTGAGGAAGGTGCTCATTAGCAGCACAGACAAATATGTCTGCACCACCACAGACGCTCATGGGACTCAGACATGTGTATTCTGTATAGGGTTGGATTATTGGAGGATTAGCTTCTTGGGAGGATGTCTGCAGGTGATGACCTGTGTGATGTGACTAGCAGACAGATTCTGGGATAGACGGAAAGGAAACTCATTCCTGCCTGCTGAAAATTAGTCTCTCTCTTTTCTAGGCTGTGTGATAAATGCCCAACGCAAATGCTGTGAGAGGTACTTAGGCCCTGGGGCACTGATGATGACCCACACAGAACCTTCTTTTGGAAGGAATTACATTACTACCCCACTAGAATGTAAGCTACATGAGGACATGGGCTCCGCTTGCTTTTTTCACTGTTGTATCTCCGGCACCTTCAACATCTGGCGTATGATTTGCCCTCAATAAATATTTGTTGAGTGGTGCATGGATTAGTAGGAATGTGATCCATTCCACACGGTAAATATTCGTTCATCTTTCCAAGTTCTGTTGCTTTATGTTATGTAAGGGCTTCACACCTCACGTGGCATGGATGATCATAATCCCCAAATGGGTAAAACAAGATATTCAAGAGTATGATCAAAAGCAAAAACCAATTTACTTTTGAGGAGAGGCGTGACGTGGTCCTATCATTCCCAAAAAAGAATGTTTCAGAGTTATGAGAGCCAAAAGACAAGGTGAGTCCATGTAAACTCTGTGGAAACCTGAATGAAACTCTCCTGCACACCTGGTGAATTGCTCTTGAGTAGCTGATGGGCTGAGTAATGATTCTGAGGGTCCAGCAGGGGAGAAATGCTACACACCTGGATGCTAATCAATACACCTTTACTGGCTGGAGCCCCACCTCTCTGTTGTCCCATGGATGCTGAACAGAGAGCCCAGCAACAGAGGCGGGACCATTGCTCACTGGTGCTATCCTGGTGCTGATATCTGGTTTGTCTTTGAGGACTGGGAGGAGCTCAGTAAATCTCTCCATGGGCTCCCGCCAAGTTCAGACACCCCAGCCTTTGTCTGCAAATCCCATGCCTGAAAAATTCCATAAAAAGAAGGAAGGCTAATCTTTGAAACATCAGACTTAAGCCAGTCCCTCTCCAAGAGTCATAGGAGAGCACTGAAGATGTCTAAAACATCGGCCATTTTGTTCTTCCTTCCTCCAGCTGAGTCGAGGACTGTGAAACTCCCACCGCCTCTACTACCCACACACACTATGCATGTTTCCTTGAGTCTGAAGGGCAAAAGGTCTTCCCGCCTCTGCTGGCAGTGCTCCCTCAGCACCTGAAGTTGAACCCCCACTTTCAAGTAAATTCTCACATGCTTGGAGGTTGAAAACGACCCTGAATAGAAAAACTCACACGCAGCAAAAAGATGCAGCCTTGCTCCTTGGAGATCCAACTGAAACGGCCCCATCCTTGTCAGCAGATTTTTTTAAAAAGCGTCTTTTATTTCACCCCCTCCCAACTTCTTACCCCAATGCTTCTGAAAAGTAGCTAATTCTCTGGGAGTTTTTTTAGATTGAGGATACAGCCTGCCTTCCAAGGTACCCCTCAGACCACTTTCTACTCTAATAAGTGGGATAGGCAATATGGGGGAGTTGGGTCCAGGAAGGTATGCTAACGGATTCTCCAACTTTGTCACCAAAATTCAGCCCCAGAAGTCACAAATAATACCCATCCCAACACAGACATGTGGCTCCTCAGACTGAAGTTTCAGGAAGCCTGCTTGTCAGGAGGGTGCAATTGCAATTTTCCTTGCATAGGGCTGAAATATGACAGACTCTTTCCTGGAATGAAACATTTATGAAAATGTGCTTAATCCATTTTTAGCAGCTCAGTAGTTTTCTTCATGATGAAATAATATCTTTCATCCTGAAAAACACTTTGCCTATTGTAACTTCTACACAACCTCAGCACTGCAATATAGTCAGTCCTCAGACCAATGTGGCAGCCAGTTGCAAAACAGGAAAAGGGTGCAGTACATTTTGAAATGTGGAGGTTCATATACACCATAGTTTGACAAAAAGAGGAGGAAAAGGTTAGGGAGCAAGGCTGGTGACAACTTTGTACCCTTCCACACCAGAAAGTGCTGAGATCATCTTCAGAGAGGGTGGCTTCCTGTTGGTACAGGGAAGTCTTGAATGGGCATCTCTCCTGCTGCTTGTCACATCCTAGGAGAAGCTTTCCCAGTTCTTTGCCTCTCTTTCCTCTCTTCTTCTCCCAAAGAGTCTGCTTCCAGCACCCTGAAAAGGCCGTACCCCTTTATCATGCCAGCAGACATTTGGTCATTGCTGCAGCCTCGAATAAGAAGGCACCTTTCCTCCCAGGAAGCTGACCCTGCTTTGCTCTCAGCACTCAGGGATCCCATGGGGCACACAAGAGGTGAGACCCGAGACAATGGACCAGTCCCCAGGGGCCTATGCCTTCCATTAGCCAAGAATTCCAGATGAGGGAGTATGAGGCCATAGGCCTAAGGGGCAAGGGAATGAAAACTGCCTCCTCATTTCTCCTTATTACCATTACCTAATGCTAGCCCTCTCTTGGTGTGTCAGACTTATCATTCTTATTTGACAGAGAAAGATGCAAAGGCATCTGGGCTGGGGGATGCCCAGTTTGCTTCTCTTAATGAACATTCATTAATTGCCTATAATGTGCCACGTCTGGGCTGGGCCTGGGGATTTGGTGGATCATGTGTCTCTGCCCACAGGGAGTCTAGGTATGGGGGTGGGGGAGGCAGGTAAGTGGGCAGCTGTAACAGGCTCCAGGTGCTGTGAAGGAGGAAGGCGAAGGTCCTGTGGCAACACATTGGAGGGTCTCCTAACCCAGAACCGAGGCAGGCTGGAGCAGTTCAAGAAGTCTTCCTTGAGAAAGTGACAACAAAACTCAGCCTGGAAACTACCTGGAAGCTGGAGAGACAGGTGACTCAAGATGCATCAGTGGGATGAGCAGAGTGACCAGATCATGCAGCGCCTTTAAATTGCTGCTTTTGGAGGGTGCATCCGGGGGGAGGTGGGAGGGAAGGAAACATCTATGAGTCTCCCTCCTCCCCCCACTCCAAGACTCTCTAGGGTTTGGAGAGTGATCACTGCCCAAAGAGAATCTGGCTCCCCAGCAGGCAGGCTGAGGCGGGCTCAACACCTTGAACTTCAGCCTGAGAGCAATAGGGAACAGTTGAGGTAGAGGGAGTGATATGATCAGGTTTGTTAGAGGGAGTGAGTTAAACAGAGGAGACAAGTGTCCCCCCCCCCCCACATACACACACACTGCCCTTAGCTCCCTACTTGGAGCTCTGCCCTAAGAAGTTCCGTAAGGCTTGGTTGTGCCCAGGGAGTGGGGACTGTGATGCTTGTGAGGAAACAGGGAAGGAGGGCGAGCAAGTGATGCTAAAGATGTTTTGGGGATAATTTGCTCATTAAATTTTGTGCTTACTGGTCATATACCTGTTATTTGAAACTTGTAATGCTCCCAGTCTCAATTCCAAAAGCCCAGCTCCCCCATCTACATTTCAGTGTGTATTCTTTAAAATTATCTTCTTTCCCTTTCATTTGTGGTTTGAAAACCACATTCCTCTTCTTTAATAATAACACAGCCACAAGGGAGATGCAGGACAAGTTCCACCCCTCGCTGCCTTGTCATTAATCCCACTAAGTACCTAATGGGTCTCATAGAAGAGTTTTCAATCTCCACAAACCCTCTCTGGCTGCAGGCAGCTCTGGGGTTGACCCCTGTAAAGTGACACCGACCCCTCCCCCAGTACACTCTCAGAACTCAGGAGAGCTGGTGTGAGAGTTTCTGCTGAAGAAGAAATGAAAACCCTTGGCTTCTCACTGTGCAACTTAGAAGGAGAGAGTGAGAGAATGGAGATAATGGGGAGGTTGAGAGAGAAAACGGGGAGAGAGAGAAAGTGAGGGCTGAAGAAGAAGACAAGACAGACACAGAAAGTGAGACACAGAGAGGACACAGAGAGGGAGATGGAGAGAGAATAGATGAAGGAAAGCTTCAGGGAGAGAGGGAGGAAAAGAGGGAGGGAAGGAGAGATGATGCGTGGGCAAGTTTGGGGAAGGGTCCAGCAGAGGACATGGAGTTGAAGCACCTGGATGCTGTAAGCAAATGGGCAGAGGCAAAAGAGGAGACCAGCCCACCTTCCCTGTCTCTCTCCTCCCTGTCTCTCTCCTCCATCAGGGGCTGTGGACTGCTAGGTCACTGTTCGTGGTCCCCTTGACTCCTCTGAAGCTTGCAAAACCTGCTGTGTGCCAAGCCTGCCCTCCCCAGCCAGGGACACCTGTCCCTTCCCACAGCCTAGCCAGGCTGGGGAGAGGGTGTCGGGCTGGGGAGAGGGTGTTGGGGAATGGGGGTCTCCAAGAGCTACAGAGGGCCAGCCAAGCTCAGCAGAGATGAACTGAGGGAAGGAAGCAGGCAAACAAAAGGCTGCACACCTAAGGACGAAGGAGATGAGGGTAGGTGGACAGAATGACAGGCAGGCAGACCACATATGAGGAGGACTCCGAAGTTCCTCAGTATCATCCATCCCCCATGCCTCCACCCAGAGGGCTTAGAAAAAACCTCTCCTGCCCTTGGCCTCCTCTAATTTGAAGCTGTCAGCTTGGCAGTACCCAGTGGCTCTGCCTAAACCCTCTCAGGTGTTTTTCCCCCTTAAAATATCATTAGGACTTCACAGTTCGGGCCTCAGCTTGGCTCCAGGCTAAAAGGGAAGCTGCTGGGGAGGGGGAGCAGGACAGCCCGCAGGCACTCCTCCAGCTGGAGAGTTAGAAGCTGGATAGAACACCTCCGGCCCTCTCCCAGGGGCAGCAGCAGCCCAAGCTCCTCCCGGCCACATGGACACGCTCTCGGAACCCCACTCCAGCTGCAGGCGACTGTGCCTTTAAATTGCTGCTTTCGGAGGGTGCATCTGGGGGGAGGTGAGAGGGAGGGAAACCTCCTACCAGTCTCCCTCCTCCCTCCCCTCCAAGACTCTCCGGGGTTTGGAGAGTGATTGCTGCCCAAAGAGAATCTCCTTCGGCTCCCCAGCAAGCAAGCTGAGGCCCTCCGGTGCCCCAGGAGAGCCAGAGCAGGAGCCGGTAGGGTTATCTGTGTCAGGATCATTTCCAGGGGAATAGTTCTGGCCCCTGACTGGTAACGGCAGGGCAGAGGAGAAGAGAGCAGAAGAGGAGAGAGCGCAACTCCTAGCCCAGCCCCTGCGGGCTCCTTGTGAGCAGCCCAAGTTGGAGGAAGGCTCTATACTTTCGGGTTCCTCGCCAGGATATCCCCTCTCACCTTGGCAGCCAGGCTGAGAAAGGGCTCCAGGGTCCCCGCGGAATGAAAACTCTCGTTCCTGCAACCCTCTCCTTTCTTCTCCTCTGGACCCTGCCAAGGCAGGTCCTCCTCAGGTGAGCTGGGTGGGGGTGAGAAGGAGGTGCATGCAAACACTGGCCGGGGGCAGCAGGGGCTTCTGGCACGGTTTTCTCTAAGTTTGCAAAAAGCCTGCAGTCTGGAGGGTTTCAGGGGAGGACACACTCTTCCCCACTCATGACCCAGGAGCCTTTCATGAGGGATGTCAAGGCCCCAGGGCTGAGGGGAAAGCTTCCGAATGGGTGGGAGTTTCCTGGGCCTGGGTGGGAGGTAAGTAGCGGAGCCCCAGCATGGAAGCCATCTGTCCTGCCATCCAACCCTATCTCCCTACCAGCTTGGCCACACACTGTTGAGATCCCTAAAAATGACACCAACATCTGCCAGCTGCCCACCCAAGGGGCTTCAGGTAGCAAGAGTTTACCCAAAACTACATCAGAATGAAGCTGGGCTGACCAAACCCTGGCCCTCCACAGTCACCCTGCTTATGTCCACGTGGCTGCTTACTGTCTCTGGAGGGGCACTCAGTGGCAGTCATTTCCTGTGCTTGGGGGCAAGACACACTTTGGGCTCACTGTAAATGTTCCCCCACCCACTCCCACTTTGTCTTAGACCAGGAGCCAGTCTAGGTGGACAGGGTGAGCTGAGGAGGAAAGATGGCTCTACTTGAACTGAAGAGAAGTGCCTCCCAGGGCAATGGGGAGTGTCACCGCAATATCCTCCTCTTCTTGGGTCAAGGAGCATACCAGGACTGCTTGTCTCTGAGGAATTTCCTGCCTTGCTGGTTACAGACACATTTGCTGGTAGGCAGGCAGGGACCCAGTGTGGGGCAGCAAACTTCTTAAGAGTGAAAAGCAACTCAAAGTGGAATGGAGCTCAGCTGGAGTTGATAGGAGGATGCAGGCAGAAGGGGGCACCTTGCTGGCCCTCCTGGAGAGGAGGCTGCCTCAAGGCCCAAGCTACCATGACAGTATTCCCACTTGGGCTATTAGAGCAAGACAGGCCCTTAGGAAGTTTTGAGTCCAAGTCCTTCACGGTACATGCGGAAACGGAGGGGGGTGACCTGTCCAAGGTCACTCGGTCCCAGTAGGAGAATCAGAGTTGTCTCCCCTCCCCACCCCAGGGCCTTGCGTGAGCTAGATTTTCAGCTCTGGAACTTCTCGGGTTGGGCCAGTGTTTGGGAATTTCCAGGAATGAAAGGAAGGAGCGGCTGCACACAGTGATTCTGCCCTCAGGTCCACAGACAAGGTAGCCCTGGAAAAGAGAGGCTGCAACAGGGGTTGAAGCCCGAGACAGCTAAGCCCAGAGCCTGTCCCACGGTCCTGGGCTGGGGCTAGTGGGAGAGTGGGGCTAAGGATGATGGCTGCTCCGTGTGCAAGGCCATGTGACCTCATGGCAGGTGGCCAGTAGCAGCACCTGGCCAGTGTGGACGCCCTGTGGTGAAGCCATGAACTTCTGCTTGTTCCAACACCACCATCAGCCTCCTTGGAATTTCAGAGTCTGCTTAGGCCACCTGCTCTGGCAGCCTCTACTTTGGGCCAAGGTGGCCTCTGTTGCCAGGCTAAGGGCTTTCTCCTGCTCATGGGATGCAAGAAGGCAGGCAGGACTCTAGGAGGTCACGGTGTGGCTGCTCTGGACCTTCTCCCGTTCTAGTTCCTTGGCAGCCCACCCTGGGCCGCTTATATCAATCTATAGTGATAGATGGACTTAGTTCTGAAGCCAATAGCTCCGGGTTAGAGTCTTGGTTTACTGATTACTAACTGCATGATCGTGAACCTGTCATTTCACCTTGCTGATCCTCCGTCTCTTCATCTACATAATGGGGATAGTAATACTACTTATTGAGAGGATCGATATGAGAATTAACTAGATAAGATGAATAAAGCATCTGGCATGGGGCCTTAGCTATTTATATTATTTTATTGCCACTGGCTGCTGCATAGATTTACTGAGAAAGAGGGACCCACCGGCTCATAGAGAGTCGGGCCCAGAAGGTCCACAGTCACCCTGCCTCCCAGCCCCACAGCGCAGCAGTGGTAGTGGCAGTGGAGAAGCTAGCTCTAGCACCTGGTGCAGTGATGACAGCAGGATGGAGCAGGAGGCACACACTCCAGCCAGAAGACCAGCCTGAGCTCAGCCCTGCTCCACCCCTGCACCCCATCTCTGCCCTCAAGGCTTTGCTGAGCTCCTGGTCCCTAGTCTACCTGAGGGTTGGCAAGCAGATAAGCAGGCCTGTGGAAGGGGCTTTGCTGCTTGTGGAGGAAAACTTGTCAGGGAGAAGGGGCTGGCCTCTAGTCTAGGCCAAAGCACACTGGCCACTTCCTCAAAATCAAGCTGTCAGGGGGAAAAAGATGGGAGTTGACCTTCACAGCATGGCCACTCTACTGGGAAGCTTTCCTGTGCTCCTAAAGCCCTGCTTCCCCATCTATTTTGTTGCCAAAGCGGGTTTACCTGCCTGAAGCTGCCGCAACCCTGAACTGAGGTCCAGCTCAAAACATAACTTCCTACTGGAGCAAACGTGAGAAGCCAAGCCTCCCTCTCTGGAAGCTGGCTCCCAGCTCCTGAACGGCTCAGCATGAAGGCCAAGTAACTGAAACCAACTCTCAGGGATGCAAGTTGTCCTCGGGCCTTCCCATCCTTGGGTAGGCCCCATGGGCAAAACATTGCAGCAGCCACATTATTTCCAGTGAGCCATCACTCTTCTTTGAGTGCTTAAAACACCTTCAGAAAAAGAACACTGGATGAGTCCTCAGCCTCAGGTTTGAGTCCTAACCCTGTTGCTTACCAGCTTTGAGACTTTGGGCCAGTCACTCCCCTTTTGTTTATTTATTTATTTATTTATTTTAGATTCCACATGTAAGTGAGATCATATGGTATTTGTCTTTCTCTGTCTAACTTATCTCACTTAGCATAATACTCTCTAGGTCCAGCCACGTTGTCACAAATGACAGGATTTTCTTCTTTTCTATGGCTGTATAATATTCCTCTGTGTGTGTGTGTCTCTGCGTGTGTGTGTACCACATCTTCGTTATCCATTCATCTGTTGATGGGCACTTAGGTTGTTTCCATGTCTTGATTATCGTGAATAATGCTGCTATGAACATGGGGTACGGATATCTTTTCAAGATCCTGATTTCAATTCCTTTGGATAAATACCCAGAAGTAGGATTGCTGGAAGATATGGTAGTTCTATTTTTAATTTTTTGAGGAAACTCCATAGTGGTTGTACCAATTTACATTCCCACAAGTCACCCCTCCTTTGTAAGCCTCAGTTTTCTCATCTGTAAACTGGAAATAACAGTCCTCACCCCCATCACACTGAGAATTATGAGGGTAAAAAGATCTAATATATGAGAAAGCAATTTTCTAGGACTAACTGGTTGGCTTATGACTGTTTCTGTCCTCATTTTGCAATGGGCTCCCATAGACCCATCTTCTCCTATCTTCCTACCTGATGGGGAGACCAGCCAGGGGTGGGTGGGGACAGGGAACGAGAGGGTCTATGATAAATGCAGAAAACAGCTGGCTTCAGATTTCTTTATATCTTCTGTCTAGGGTGGCCTTGGCAAAAGAGGAAGTCAAATCTGGGACCAAGGGGTCCCAGCCCATGTCCCCCTCTGATTTCCTGGACAAGCTTATGGGGCGAACATCCGGATATGATGCCAGGATTCGACCCAATTTTAAAGGTAACAAGGATTCATCCTACAAAATTACCTCCCTCCCCACTCCTTTTCAGGGCACCCTGCCTAGCCAGCCCCTATTGCCTGCCCCAAGGACCGGAGGCTGGAGGTACAGGACTAGCTCTTAGGGCTCAAAAGGAGCCTCCCCTCACCATTGCCCATGGGCCTGTGTAGCTGGCATTGCCTTCTCCCAGCAGTGCCCCGGCTTCAAGGTCAGGAAAAGAGTCCTGGAAACTGTTCCGAGCCTCCTGGAATGCCCTGCCAATATAACTGTGCTTTGCTGCCCTTAGGCCCACCCGTGAACGTGACCTGCAACATCTTCATCAACAGTTTTGGCTCTGTCACTGAGACTACCATGGTGAGTAGTCTCCCCGTTCCCTGCTTCCATTCTACTGTGAATGGGAGAAGCCTACCAGACAGCAAGCCTTTCCTCCCTCTACTGTCCTTTACATGTTTCATGGTCATGGCTAAAGCCACGGAATGTGTGAAATTGATCACTAAGAGGATATCTTTCCTCAGCCTGGGGTTTCATTGGCTACAGGCAGACTAGCCTAAGGAGCAGATGGTCAAGCATGGGAGGTAGCACAGGCTTTGGAATCAGACAAACCCACGTTCAAATCCTGACTCTACCATCTAATAGCTGTGTGACCTTAGGAAGTTTACTTAAATCTCTTTGTCTCAGTTTCCTTGTCTGTAAAATGAGGATCATAGCAGCACTCTCCTCACAGGGTTGGTGTGAGATTTAAATGAGATGATGTGTATAAAGAAAGCACTTAGCAGAGAGCCTGGAACATAGTAGGTGCTTAATAAATGTCTTTTCCCTTCCCGTTTTGCCATATCATCCCAAGGCAGACTCATTCTCCAGTAGAAAATGCCCACTGCCCCTAAGATGTGCTCCCAACATTTCTTCCTCGTGGTCCTCCTGCCCATGTAGGCTTGCTGGGCCCCTGGAATAGCACTGCCTCTGATGGGCTCATCTCTGCACACTCCCAGGACTATCGAGTGAATGTCTTCTTGCGGCAGCAGTGGAATGACCCACGCCTGGCCTACCGAGAGTATCCTGATGATTCACTGGACCTCGATCCCTCCATGCTGGACTCTATCTGGAAGCCAGACCTGTTTTTTGCCAATGAGAAAGGGGCCAACTTCCATGAGGTGACCACAGACAACAAGTTACTGCGCATCTTCAAGAATGGGAATGTGCTCTACAGCATCAGGTGCACCTGGTGGATGGCCAGGAGAGCTTGGGTCAAGGGGAAGAAGCTAGATAGAGGCTGAAGGGTGGGAAGAGGGTCCCCTGTGCTGTGTTGGGCCCCAGTAAGCTGAGGTCACTTCTTTCTTCCTGTCCCTGCCAGGCTGACCCTCATTTTGTCCTGCCCAATGGACCTCAAGAACTTCCCCATGGACATCCAGACCTGCACGATGCAGCTGGAGAGCTGTAAGTGTCTCTAGAGAGTCACAGAGCAAAGCCGGGAATGCCAGCTAGTTAACCCCTTCACATTATATTCCAGACAGGAAAAGGGCAACCCAGAGTAGGGAGGGACGTACCCAAGCACATAGTCAGTTGTTGGCACAGATGAGACTAGAAGCCAGGGCTCACTAACATCCAACCCAGTGTGTTTTCCCATCCCCACACTATTTGCTGGTCTGGCTGTTCCACAGGGCTGGAGAATGGGAAGGCACCAGCCTTACATAAAAAAGTGCCTGTGCTGGTTGTGGGGGGCCATTTGAGGGGTGCTTCCTCTCCCCAAGGATATCTTCCCTCTCACAGTGCATGAAGTAATTCTATCTTTACTCCCCCTGAGTTAAGACATTCAAGATGCCTATAAAAGTGCCAAGTTGGCAGGGATGGGGTACTCTTGAACACAGGTAACTTTTGTAGAGAGGTGAGAGAGGACAGTTCTAGGCATAGGACAGTGCCCAGGGTGGCAAGGTCAGCCAAGGGCTACTCTATGGTAGGCGTGCCAGCCCATAGGGGTTGCCCCAATTGCAGAGAAGCCAAAGGATGGCAAGGATGGACCATCACCTGTGTCCACTCCTTTGCCATCATCTGGGCAAGGTGATATTGTGAGATCAGAAGACATCCACTTGGTCCTCAGAGAAGAAGGCTTGTCAGGCTGTTTCCAGCATATAATAACAGTGATGAGTAGAATGTGTCCTATGCAGTCAGCTCTTTAGAGTTCGTAAACCACTTTCATGCCCAGGTTCTCATTACCCGCTACCAACAACTCTGAAAAGTAAGTGGAGCATTTTACAGAAGGGGCAGTGACTTGCCCCATGCCACACAGTTCCCCTGGGTCAAGGCCCTACACTGGACACCTGTGAGACTTGATGTTTCTGCTCCCATTTCCACCTGACATATGTGAATATGGTCGTATATGTGGCAGGAGTCTTCACCAACTGCTAGCTATCTGTCAGCACTTTGGCATAGTCAGATGTTAGTCTCAATTTGCCCCAGTTTGGGGCCCTGGCTAGGAGTCTGTGGTGTGCATTGTCCCATGCACGACTGGCAGGGTATAAATAGCTCTCTCCTCCCTAGGGTGAGGTGGCAGAAGCCCTGGCACTGAGGCTGGCTCAGCTTGAGACATGTGGTCCGTACACATGCTTACTCCCCTGGGTTTCAGATATGGCAGGAGGTTCCCAGCTGGGTTCCCTGACATCTTTCCAACCCTTTTGACCTGCTTTCTAGATTTTCCAGAATAATTTCTCTTTGGGCCTTGCTAAAGCTTGAGAATTAGGTAGGAGGGGAGTCTGGAATCTTTCTGATTTACTTGCTTAGGATGGGCCCATGAAACAATTGACCAAGTACCCTCTTCAGCGGTTTCCATTTCCAAGATGAGCATGAAGCCCCTAAAACCCAGGCTTTACTCCTCATCCTTTTCTGCCAGTTCTAACCTTCTCCCTATCCCCTAACCCAGCAGCCACACACTGCAGCCCTCTGCCATCTCTGTTATTTTCAGTTGGCTACACCATGAATGACCTTGTGTTTGAGTGGCTGGAAGATGCTCCGGCTGTCCAAGTGGCTGAGGGGCTGACTCTGCCCCAGTTTATCTTGCGGGATGAGAAGGACCTAGGCTACTGTACCAAGCACTACAACACAGGTAAAAACCCAGGATCTTTACTAGCTGTGAGCTAGAGGAGGGCCTCCAGATGGGAGGGAAGGGGGCAAGGCAGCCAGCCTCTATTGAAGGTCCAATCTGTGCCAGATGTGGTGCAAAGTGCTTCGTACACCTTATGTCATTATGAGGGATTATCAGCCCCATTTTCCGGAAAGGGAAACTGAGATTCTGAGAAGTTAAATCAATTGTCCAAGTCACACACCTAGTAAATGGCTGATTTAGAATTCAAATCCAGATCTGTTGAATTCCAAAGCCCACGTTCTTGTCCCTGTCGCATGCTGCAGAGCAAATGGGCCTGTGCCAGTGAGTGACAGGAGTGTCCCATCTGTTCTGGGGCCAACTTCTTGCAGAAGGTGGAGAATCTACATCTAGGAGTAGTCAATGGCTGTACTGAACCGAGAGAGAATAGGCATCAGGGCACCAGCCAGTTTACCGCCCACACCTCCTACTGCTGCCACCACTGCCCAACTCTTTTGAACTGGCTTGTTTTCTCAGATGTGAAACATGGGCCAGGAAGTAGAGAGAGGTTGCTTTTCTAGCCTAAGCATCTGCTCCCTGCAGCTTCCCTAAGAGCTACTTGTTCTTCATTTCCCTTGGTGATCTGGCCACAAAGAAAGAGCTATGACCCTGAGATAGAGACCAGAGGCTGAAGAGGGGAGATCCTGGGTACCTTCTATGGTGTGCTGACATGCTTTGGGTGCCACCCTATGAATATGTGTGTTCGTGTATGTGGGGGCGCCTGGAGTGGGAAAACGAATAGGTCATTGAATTTAGAAAGTGCTGGTCAAAGTGGAAATTGACATAACTTTCTTTGGGGAAAAAATGGCAATTTGTATGCAGGTCAGTAGTCTTCAAACTTTGGTGTGCATTATATTCCCCTGGGGAGCTTGTTAAAAAGTTGAGTCCTGGGCTCTACCTCTCAGAGATTTTGATTACATATGCTAGGAGAGATGCCTGGAAATCTGCATTTGAACAAGCATCCTGAGGATTCTGATGCAAGTGGTCCAGGGGGCACACTTTGAGAAACTTTAGTCTAGAAGCTAAATTTTTTTTGTACATGTTTATCCAGGAATCTCACTCCTTGGAATTTATTATAAGGAAATATTCCAAAATATCTTATTGACTTTAGACCCCAAGAGGGCTCTGGGTCACTGTTTATACCAGCAAAAACTTAGAACTGTTCTAAATATCCACCAATAGGGCAGAGGTTTAAGTAAATTACACAGTGCATCTGCTTGGTAGGATGTTATCCAGACATTAAAAAGGACGCTTGCAAGGTGCTTATATCAACATGGGAAAGTACAAGTGAAAAAGGCTAAGATTCAAAGTTATACACACAGAATGATTATTTTGTGGTAAAAGAAACAAATCAAAAGCACCTGTTTAAAAATCCTGGAAGGAAACAGCACTAAATGTTTCTAAAGTCATGTGATACAATGGATAAGAGCAAGCAGTTTGGAGTCTGATAGAGCTAAGTTTGAATTCTGGCTCCACCATTTACTGGTTGGGTGCCCTTGAGAAACATAATTTAATCTCTTTGACCCTCAGTATCCCTATCTGTAAAATGGAAAATAATAATTTTACATGCCCTAAAGTGTTGTCATGAGATTTAAATGAGAGAAACTGGATAAAGTCAGGCCACTTAGTAGGGGCTTGGTAAGTGTTAGCTGACGAATATTATTATTCCTTTTCCACTTCTCACTTTTTTTCTATACTAAACAAGTGTTAATTTTGTCATTAAAAACCAAACCACTATTATGGCGTCGGGGGAGGGGGGAGAAGGAAGGAAGGAAAATGTGGGTACCTAGCAAAGGCATGTCACTGCAAGAAGCAGGGAGTGGGGTGAGGTGGAGTAGACTCAAAGAACAATAAGAGATCACAGTATCACACGGCATGTCAAAGCCGTAATCAGTCACTGATGAAATTGCTAGCCTTGAGGAATCAGACAGGCCTGATAAGAGCAAGCCTAGGCCAGAATAAAATAACAATATACACACCCTCTGCTTTTTGCTTTGCCTATCCTAAACCTCTGCTGCTGGGAGAAGCTCTGAGCTAGTGTTTTCTTAGCCTTGGGGCATGGGAAGCAGAGTAACGTGAAGATGGCTGGCCAAGGAGGCAGAGCATTAGTACACGTGCCTGGGGCCAATGCACTTTTTGTTGGTGGAATAGAGTACTGCTGCCTGATGCTCTATGGGAACCTGCAGCCCACTGTCCAGAGCTGGTCTCTTTTGGACATTGTGTCCAGATGTTTGCTATCTGGCTGTTCTCACTTGCTTAAGACACAGACAGTGTCTATTTCAGTGAATTGTTGTTGCTAGAGAGCTTCTGGGGTACCAGCAAGCTCAAGCAAGGCTGCTGTGATTTAAGTGGAGTGTAAGCTCATTGCTTTGTTAATAATCATAATAGTACCAGCTACCTATGTGCTCAACACCTCAAACACATTATCTCATTTAATTCCTACACTAGCCCACTGATGATGGAGTTGATATTGTTAATACTCTGTGTTACAGGCAAGGAAACTGAAGCCCACAAAGCTTGGGTGTTTTGCCTGAGGTCACACAGCTAGTAAGTGGAAGGGTCAGGATTCAAACCTAGGCTGTCTGGCTCTGGAGCCTTCTTGCTCTTAATCCTGTTGCTGTGCTGTCCTGTGGAAGGTCTTCTGCTGGAAACTGAAGTGCCAGGGTCAAGAGGTCAAGTCTTTGGTGGCTGCTCTGAGAGCTTCCTCAGAACATACACCTGGTGCTCCCTGGGGCCATTTTGAAAGGCTCATTTATTGGCCCAGCTGAGGTGCCCGGAGGCTGGCCCATGGGGATAGGGCTGCCCTAGTCCTGCCCCTCAGGCTCAGCTGCAGGCTGGGAACCTGGTGCCTGATACCTCACCTCTTTCCTTGCAGGGAAATTCACCTGCATCGAGGTAAAGTTTCACCTGGAACGGCAGATGGGCTACTATCTGATTCAGATGTACATCCCCAGCCTACTCATCGTCATCTTGTCCTGGGTCTCCTTCTGGATCAACATGGATGCTGCCCCTGCCCGTGTGGGCCTAGGCATCACCACCGTGCTCACCATGACAACTCAGAGCTCTGGCTCCCGGGCCTCTTTGCCTAAGGTGAAGAGACATGCAAGGGAACTTGCTTGCTTAGAGCTCCCCATTTCCCATTCATCCCCTGTTCCCTCCTGCTCACTATTTTCCTTGGATTTAAGGTAGAGAAGAGCCATTGAGCAAAAGCAGGTGGCCTGCATTCTCTTCCCCCACAACATACTGCTAATAACATGCTAACAGTGTGGAAGCAGGGGTTGCAGATGCTGTCTGGCTAGGGAACAAGTAGAGACAGTGCTTGACTTACTTTGACTTTCATCAGGAAATACTAGCATGTCCAAGATCAAAAGACTCTTAGCGAGTAGAAAGTCCTACTCCCTCATGGTACAGATGAGGACAATGCAGCTCAGAGAAATAGAATGACCTTCTCAAGGTCATGCTCCACAAGAAACAATCAAAGAAATACAAGGATTTCAAACCGACATCTATATCTTACTTTGTCGGAAATCGGATACTATTACCAAGAGCTCTAGAGACACTACCCATTCTTTTGCAGTGGGAAAATTTTGAGGTAGCAAATAGTAATTAAAGTCAGTGGACTCTGGTTATCCTGGATTATGCAGAGAGCTTTGTGCTGACGTGACTGGGCCCAGGGTCTCCCTGCCTTGTGTCATCATGTAGAGAATTTAGAGGTCACCTCAAAGCCCTTACAGTCAGAAAGACTCTGAGAAAATCAGGGAGCAACCCCATTTTAGTCAATTAATATTTATTGAGCATGTACTATGAACCAGGCATTGTATTAGGCCGTGGAGAAATAATGGGAAACAAAAACAACGCAGTTGCTTGTGGATCTAAAGTGAACATATTCCCTCTTGCTCTGATTTGATAGGAACCAGGCCCTGATCTCCCATCTCCTAGAGCTTATTCCTAAGAAGACATTCACCAGAGACTTAAGCGGGGGTAATCTGGGCATCCGTGGTGAATTTATAGATTCGCTGTATGGGGACAGGAGGTGTGTGGTAGTTAAGGGTAAGAGATTAGACTCAAGCAGATTTCAGTTTAAGTCCCAGCCTCATCATTTACTAATGGTGATCTTAGGTAAATTCTTTAACCTCTCAATCTCCTTGCCTGTAACATGGGAATAAGAATATTACCTCTTCCACAGGGTTATTGCAAGAAATAAATAAGATAATGTATTAACACAGAGAACAGTGTTTGGCACATAATAGCCACTCAATAAATTTTAGTTATTGTGATTATTAGATGTCTGGGTGGAAAGAACTGAGTGGTGGACCTAGGGCTATAGCAGCTGGTGGTGTTCCCAATTACTTTTGAGTTGCCAGGAAATCTTTGAGATGGCCCTAAGCCCTCTAGGGATAAATGGTGACAAAACTCAGATTAGGATCAAGATCAAAACCCAAATCAGGGGAAGTTGTCAGAGATCATTTCCTATAAATGTGTTTCCTATGTGAGCAGGGATATTGAAGAGGCTCTGAGAGGCCTCTTCAATAGCCAGGGCTTAGGCAAGGGCTATACAAGCAGACAGGGCTGTGATGGCCATGTTGTGGTAGTGGTCTTGTAGGAAAACTAGAGGCAGAAAAGTAGCTCAGACCTAGGAACCCTGGCCTAGCTTATTGCCGCTGCCACACAAGAAGGAGATTCTTCTCTAACTCAGGAAGGTGCTGCAATTTATGCCTTATTCTTACCAAGAGAACTTCCTTCTCCAGTCCCCTCCTGTGAGCAAGCACAATCCATTTACTCACAGGAATCACTTAGTTTCCTCATTTGGAAAAAATGGACTTTGTTGGAGGGGTTTTTTTTTTCTCCTGAGGAAGATTAGCCCTGAGCTAACATCTGCTGCCAATCCTCCTCTTTTTTGCTAAGGAAGACTGGCCCTGAGCTAACATCTGTGCCCATCTTCCCCTACTTTATATGTGAGATGCCTATCACAGCATGGCTTGACAAGTGGTGCTTAGGTCCACACCCGGCATCCGAACCAGCGAACCCTGGGCCACCAAAGCAGAATATGCAAACTTAACTGCTGCGCCACCAGGCCAGCCCCTGTTGGAAGGGTTTTTTTTTTGCAGTATTTGGTGCCTTCTCATCAGATTTTGATGAACTTTTCATGGCCTCATTGGCCAGTAAGCAAACTATGTAGGTATGACGCCAAACCAAATAGCTTCATTGGCCAGCCCTGCAGAACAAGGAACTGAGTAAGTCAGGGGGCTTCTGCTCACTCTTGAGTCTGTGCAACATTAGATTTGGTAGGAGCCCTAGAGAAAGAGGTGGGGCTGGGTCAATGGCTTCTGAAAGTCACACCAATCCCACCCCAATAGGACTCGAGTGTCCAGGATAAGAGAAGCAGAGGCTCACTTTTTAAGGGAACTCAGCTGGGATGGCCACTTCTGATGCCCCCAGGAAACCACTCCTTTGTCTGTTTGGGGGATCCCAAAGGCACCAATCACTGTCTTCTTACCAGGCTCTTTATCTACACAACTGCAGGTGGCTCAGTACAGAATGGAAGAGCTAAGTGAAAATTTCTACCAGAGATTAGACCTAAAGTTGCAAGAAGGAGGAGGGACCCAATTCTCTTGAGAACCTGTAATCTAAATGGCTCACAGTTCTTGGGGCAGGTAGTAGCAAGGAGGGGAAAAAAGAGCAAACATAACCAGTAGAGACAAATACATTGCTAACCCATCTCCTTGGGAGACTACTGAAATGGTTCATCATGGCAGGGTCATAGATTGCCAGGGGCGAGATGAGGCTGAAGAAGTAGGCAGGGCCTAAATGTCATGCTAAGGGGAGCATAGACTATATTGTAAAGGTAACGGAGAGCCATTGAAGGGTTGTTAGCAGAGGAGAGATATGATCAGATTTACATTTTGAAAACAAAAACTCTGGCTGCTGTTTGGAGAACAGATTGGAGGTGGCAAGCAGAGATGCAGGGAGACCATTTAGGAAATGGTTGCAGTCCTTCAGATGAGCTAGGGTAGTGAGAGGATGGATTCCAGACATATTTAAGATGTGTTATTGACACAACCATCATTAACAAGGCTTTTCTCCTGCTGTTTAAGGGGTCTTTTTCTTTTAGTGGTCCAAAACCTTTCATGGCCCTCCCTGTCATTACCTCATTATTGATCTTCATAGCAGACTTGACGACATCCCTGGGGGCACAGTGAGACTGGGAAATGGTGAATGAACTAAGATGCCCTCTTAGTAGGTGGCAAAGTGGAAATACCAAAGGATGCTTAATCAGAGATGCCTAGCAACCCACCACCACTACTCACCAAAGTGGAATTTCCCTAAAAGAGCAGGGTTTCTCAACTTAGCACTATAGCCATTTGGGGCTAGAGAATTCCTTGTTGTGTTTGTAGGGAAGGAGGCAGGTGTCCTGTGTATTGCAGGATATTTAGCAGTGTTCCTGGCCTCCAACCACTGGATGCCAATAGCTACCATTACCCTAAAATTGTGCAACCAAAAACGTCTACAAACATTGCTGAATAGCCCTGGTAGGGGGCGGGAAGAATCATTCCAGGTTAAGAACCACTGAGGTGGAAGGTTTATCCAGTGAGACCTGCTCCTTACCTGGAGCCTGCAGCACCCTCAGTATCCAACATAGCAGAGGCTAGTGAAAGAGGTTGTACGTCATGAATTCTACTCCAGCAGGAGAGCCCCATAGAGTGAGCTCAGCAGCTCAAAACTATGTGGGGAGTTGATCTGATTGAGGAGGTGAAAGGACTCTGTAAACTTGAGTTCTGTCCCCCATCTCCTGGCCCCACCCAACTGCAACCCTGCTCCAGGAGAGGTAAGTGTCCAATCTTCACAAGGGAAATGGTAGAGAAAAGTATTTAAAGGCTGCTAAGGCAGGTAGTGAGAGGACAGAACTAGGGACTGGATAGGCAGATGCCAACAGTGCCTTGAAAGTAGAAAAGTGTCCATAGCCGAGGGTGGGTGGCGCTCCCTTGGGATCTCTGCCCTGTTCTGCTCTCCACTGTGAGAGAGGAGGCCTCAGCTCACTACTGCGCTCAATTCCTCAGCAGAAGAGCAGCAGGAAAAACTACAGGGTCAAGGGAAGAATCGGGGTGGAGGAGGGAAAGGAAGGAACTCCTAGTCTGATATTGAGACTGCAGCCTAGGCGACTGGCAGTGCCACTGAATAGAAAGCCCAGAACCCCCAAGTCCTAGTGCCACCTTCTCCCTGGGTAATCTCGGCTAAGACTTTTCCTCTCTAGACCTCAAGTGTCCTCACGTGTCTCATATGGGACTGACAAACTCTGCCTGATTCCCACCATGGCTCTGAGGATCCTAGGAGATATCAGAGGGCAAACAAATGCAACGTTCATGCTCATTGCTGTTTATTGAAAGAACAGAATCAGAAGAAGACAAGAATGAAAAGAATAATAAGAAGCAGAAGCAAAAGTACAGAAATAATAAAGAAATAAAGGAAAAGAAGTATAGGGAGGACAGGCAGATGGAAGTGGAAGGTGGAGAGTGCAGAGAGGTGAAGGATGATGGGTAGCCCGATCTCTTTGATGTGGGCCTTCAGACAACGGGACAAATCTTGGAAAGCTTCTTTAAAAACCAGAAAAAATTCAGGATAAAACTGAAGAAGAGGAGGCAGTCGATATGGGCTGGCAACGCACTGAAGAGGCCATGGAAGGACTCCAAGAAAGATGACTATGCTGTTGATGGATGTTGCAGGTGTCCTACGTGAAGGCAATCGACATCTGGATGGCTGTGTGCCTGCTCTTTGTATTCGCTGCCCTGCTGGAGTACGCTGCTGTCAATTTTGTCTCCCGTCAGCATAAGGAATTCATGCGACTTCGAAGAAGGCAGAGGCGCCAACACATGGTGAGTATAACTAGGGAGGGGCCCACTTCCTTCCTCCTTTGGACTCCTTCCTTACTACTCTTCCCACAAACCAAGACCTGACCTAGGGCTGCGAAGATTAGCCAGGCAATCAGGAACCCTGGATTCTAGTCCCAGGCTGGTCACAGATAAGCTAAGTACTTTAACCCCTTTGATTCCATTTCTTTATCTGTCCAATGGGACATTAATCCCTGTAGGGAAGTCTGTAGAGTGATTAAGAGTGCACAGTGCCTGGCACATAGTAAGCACTGAGAAAACGTTAGCCAGTATTAGAACCTTATCAAGTTAGTCAATATGAGATTGCTTTGAGAATTAATAATGAGTGCTCCTGGCTCTCCCCTCTCCCAGGAGGAAGTACCCCAGATTGTCATACACTGAGTCATGGTTAAGAATTAAAGGGTCAGGCATTGGTGCCTTTCTAGGGGAGTATTATAAAAGGGTCCCCATAGCTAAGCTGGAATTGAAAAACCACTACTTGCCTCTTCTGGCTGTTGGATTTCTTCACCTTGATCTTCAATAGGTGCATCAGAGTTGTTGGATGTGAGCTGTTGTTCTCCCTCACTCTTGTTCACTAACCCCATTTCTTCTACAGTAGAATGATCACCTGGGGAAATACAGTAGAGATCATGTCGTCATGACAACAGAGGCAGTTTACCCCTGATTGCCCGGACAATAGGTGCTAGGTACGTTGTCATGACAACAGAGGTGCCTGGGCCACTCTCACAGAAGCAAGTGCCCAATTGTGAGCAAAGCTGAAAACCTATTCTGAGCTACATTCTGGTCCATTAATCATCAGACACAGAGTTCCGGTCTATCTTGAGACCTGACTCCTTGATTTCTGCCTAAACTGGGCCAAACTCTAAAGCCAAAGACGCAAGCTCATATGACCTCTGAGGGGAGGGGAAAAATGATCTGAGCCCACTGGCTCTAGCCTCTTGGCCACTCTAGCTCTAAGGCTCTTCTCTCCTCCTAACCCCTACCTCCCACCTCAGCTGCTCCTGGGCTATCTCTACCATATAGCCACACTAAAAATAATTCACAAACTACCTTTGAGATTTCATGTCACTTGCTAAGGTCCCTTTCTGCTGAGGGCAGGGCTCCTGTCTCATCTAGCGGTTTGTCAGAATTTGTCAATTCTTGCCCAGCTTTAGTCCTTTAGATGGGCCCTGGGAAACATGCCCTCTAGTGGATTGATCCACAACAGCATCTCCTAGAGTAAGACCCATTCTTCAAGAGACCTAAAAGCCTTTCCTATCCCATGCTGAGGATTAGAAAAAATATACAGACTTAGCAGAAGGGCAAGAAAAGAGGATGTACTCTTTTCTAAGCTAACTGTCTCCACCACCTCTTTAGCTGTGTCAAACTGGCCTGCAGGTACCAAAATCTTATCTTTATAGCGGTTTCGATCTTGATGCCTTCTCAGTGCCTACCTTGGAAAAGAAGAGCAAGCTGCCAAACTGTTCCAGAGTTCTTTTGCCAGCTAAATCGCCTGTGTTGATGTCCTAGCAACAGACAACTGCCGCGGTTTCTGTAGAGCTACTCCAGGTTGACACTAGTCCCACTCCTTTCCCTGTACCTCTCTAACCCCCAACTGCCCATAGCCTACCCGCTTCCTGGTCATATATAGGTTGGTCATGATCTCATAGTGGAGTCTGTCATAGCCAGTGCTCAATTATTACAAAGTTGTAACAGCAGCCTGGGCCTTCCCTGCTTAGGCTCCTGGGTCCTGCTTGAAAGTGGACTGGGCTTATTATTAATGTAAATAAAACCTGAAAATTAAAAGCAGTGCCATTAGTCATGTCCCTTTTCAAGTTTCCTAAAGCCACTGCCATCCCAGTGGAACTGTAGTGGGAATCCTGGAGGTCACCGAGCAGGCTGGCAAAAGTTGATGCAGAGTTAATCCATCTCTAGAAACTCTCTCTGGGCCCTGCTGTTCCAGCTAGAGAAGCAGAAGCCTTCAGTCAGAGAAGAGCCCTCTTGAGGAAGGGGAGAGAATCCATGTGATTTTCAGGGAGCCCTTAGTCAAGAGCAAGTAAGGAGTATTCTAGGAGCCAGTGGGCTGTTCACCCAGCTCCAGGCTTAATCCTGTTCTTCTCTAATCTCTCTTCAACCATCCATCTCCACTGCGTGGTGGTCTGTTTCCACATCACTGTTTAAAGTGGTTTAATTTTTTTCCACATATTTCTGCTTTGTCTTCCCAGCTAGTCTATAAGCTTCAGAGGGAAGAGTCTGTCTCTCTTTTTCATAGCTTCAACAGGCCCTAGCACCAAACTCTGGACACAGCAGCCATGTAACCCAGTCCACCAACCTTTGCAGGCTGACTGGCTAGGGCTGTCTTTCAAGCTGGACAAAGAGGAAGCCTTGCCATTATTAATAGAATAACTTGAGAAATGGAAGACATTTCAAAATACTGCCAAGTCCTTTCAGAGGCTTGGTCCCTGAACTCTGCTTGCTCTCTCTCCATCCCCCAGCACCCTCTCCTATTCTTCATTCTCGGCTCTTCTCTTTGCTTCAGTACACATCCCCTAATACCTATCACTCTTTCCCATCTCCACACCTCACCTCCCATACTGTGCATTCCCTCCCCAAATTGGCTTTGGAATATCTTTCCTCTCTTGCTCCCCAGCCTTCCTCCCCCGTAGATAGCTGCAACAAAAGTGTTCTATTTCAACAGCCATGGAAGCCACAAAGTTACGTTTAAGTCTCCATTGTCCCTCCTCAACACACACACACACCCCCTCCTCAGAATTTGACTTCAATAGATAATACCCAAATCCAGGCCCTTCACCCTTGGATTACAGACCATTGATCTTTGCTCCCCTAACTACAAGTGGTACAACATATTAAAATCAAAAAGACCCAAGGGCAGCTTACTGTATTGGCTATATTTTCTATCCCATATGAAATAGCTTTTTCAGCCTGGGAAATATTTTCAAATAATTCCCTTTAGATTTACTGATTGGAGAAAAGGGGAAATACCTGGATCTGTAGAAACAGAAACAGCAGTTGGATTCACCTTCCTCTTTCAAAACTTTTTGAAAACAAACATATTCCGTGGTTGTATCCTCTAGCCGGGGGGCTGAGGGGATTGGGATGAGCAGTGGGGAACAGGCGGTCTGAGGGACCCTGAACTGGAAAGCAAAAGAGAAAATCATTTTCTTTATCCCCTCATTTTTCGATTACTTGGGAGATATTTTGTTTGCCTCTGGTCCTTCATCTCTAAAATGGGTCCAGCACAACCTCCCTGGTAGGAAGAGTGTGAAGATGAATTAGAGAATACAGGTGAGGTGCGCCAAGGCCTTTGGTGACTGAGGCTCTGTAAATACCTTTGAGCAGAGAGCTAAGACTGCCCCACTACAGTGACTCAGGGGCGAAGCACAATCACAGTAGTGAATTGCCTCTGGCCTACGCATGTACAACTCTCTCCACAGAGAGTGGCAAAATCAAGAATTGTGTAGCAAAGCTCCCTGGTGGGCAGACTTAGATTTTTTCCCTATACCAAAGGTGCCACTCTTTCTAGAAGCTGAAGGGCACCAGGCCATTGTGCAGGAGTGGGACAAAGAGTAATCCTTTTTCCTGCCAAGCACTTTGTAACTGAGGAAGATTCTCTTCTGAGTAGACTCTTCAGTTTGAGACCCTGAGAGGATGCTGGCTTCATGAGAACAAAGCCATTCCCTGTCCTATATTCTGAAGCATGTGGCTCATCACTCCATTCATTCATTCAGCTGATATCTACTGAGTGCCTACTAGATGCCAGGCGATGTGCTAGGCAGTGGGGATACTGCAGTGAACAAGACTGATGCCTTTCCCAAGTTCGTGCTATGAACCCACAGGAAGCAGAGAAAGAGATACAATCTGTTGGTGAATCTCTGGCCTGAGTTTGCCTGCTCCTGATGCCCAATGACAGGCCAGGCCTTCTGGTGATGCAATAATCCAGGGTTACTGGGACCCACCACACCAACATCTCATCTACAGAGCCACTTATCAATGTGTTACCATAGCTGCAGAGGTCCCATTATAAAGACCCTATAATGTCTAACTGCACAGTGTGGGTAAAATCTACTTTTCCACATTTTAGGTATATCTATGTCACATCCATTCAATGTATATGTTCTTTATTTTTATAAGTTGTAGTAAGTGCCTCAGGTAGCTGTAGGGTGACGAACTCTTCCCGGTTTGCCTTTGACTTCCCCGTTTTAGCATTGAAAGTCCCAAGTCACAGGAAGCCCTCAGTCCTGGACAAACCAAGATGGTAGTGGACATCATCCCACAGAGGGCATCTCACGCCAGGTGATTTCTTAGATAGCTGAGGCTTTTACTCCCTTAAACATCAATACTTTTAAAAACTTCAACCATCTCTGAAGGAAGTATTTCTAGGTTCGGTTGTACATTTACCTTCCTCTGTCTAATTTCCAGGCTGTGAACCATCAATTCTGATAGCAGTGTGTCCTTTAGAAACAGAGAAAATTAGGCATGTTTGGGTTGTATATAAACTTCATGAATAGGCTCTGAGTGGAGGCCTGGTGGGCTCTTAAGTGAGCAAAGCTTTCTCTATTGATCGCTCAGAGGCTTTGGTTCTCTCTCTGGCTCGCTCGCTCACTCACTATCACTATCACTATCCATCTTTCTGCCTTTACTTCAGGGCTCTCAGCTGTGTTATAGCTACTTAGGGTTTTCACCTCACTATTGGATAAATGAACTTTGTGTAGTCTGCTACATTACGTAGTGCTTATATAAAATTTACCTCCTCAGGGGCCGGCCCAGTGGTGCAGCGGTTCAGTTCCCACCTTCCGCTTTGGCAGCCCGGGGTCCGACGGTTCGGATCCAAGGTGCGGACATGGCACCGCTCATCAAGCCATGCGGTGGCCCACACGTAAAGTAGAGGAAGGTGGGCATGATGTTAGCTCAGGGCCAGTCTTCCTCAGCAAAAAGAGGAGGATTGGTGGCAGATGTTAGGTCAGGGCTGATCTTCCTCAAAAAAAAAAAATTACCTCCTCAGCATTACTGTGTTCATCATAATGCATGTATTGTACATGAATGGAATGTGTATTGGGTAATAAATGTTACCCTAGATGTACTGACCCCTATGTCAAAATCTGCTGGTTGGCAGAGAAGCACTTGTATCTGCAACAGAGTAATCAGCTTTACCCTAATTTGGAAAACCCACTAGGTTATTGAAAACTTTTGGAATTTTCAGCTTTGAGTTGAGATAGCACAAGGAGAATTAATTCTGCAGCTTTTGAAAGTCATTAAAGTCAAGTTCACCAAGTCTAAATATCTCAGCTGTGCTTTCTAAAGCTTTCATTGTTCTGCTTATTCTGTTTCTTACCAGTCAGAGATAACTTGACTTTGAGATGCCCCTCTCACAGTGGGTTGGCGCTTCACTGGTTTTTAGATGGCTCTAGATGATGCTGTGCATTTTAAAAAGGCGGCTTGGGGCTTATCTGCAATTGGAATCATAACACATACCATACGTACCATACACAGCTGCTTAGCAGACATCTATCTCATCTGGCCATAAAAAAAGCATGCAATGGGCCTGCGTACCCAGCCACCCCATCTGCATAGCATCAACTATGACATATTTGTGTGTGGCCTTGTTGCTATCCCTCTGCTTTAGAAGTGTAACCTCAAATTCTGCCTTTTCTTCCATGTAATTCCAGGAGGAAGATATCATTCGAGAAAGTCGCTTCTATTTCCGTGGCTATGGCCTGGGCCACTGCCTGCAGGCAAGGGATGGAGGTCCAATGGAAGGGCCTGGCATTTATAGCCCCCAACCTCCAGCCCCTCTTCTGAAGGAGGCAGAAACCATGCGGAAACTCTATGTGGACCAAGCCAAGAGGATTGACACCATCTCCCGTGCTGTCTTCCCTTTCACTTTCCTCATCTTCAACATCTTCTACTGGGTTGTCTATAAAGTGCTACGGTCAGAAGATATCCACCAGGCACTGTGAATAGAGTGGAGGCCAGAGAGTCCAGCTGTTGGCTTCCTTCCTCCTAGGTGGGCTTTCCCCCTCTGTTAGATTCTATCAGGGGGTTGGACAGTTCCTTCCTGATCTCCCACTCAGAATTTCAACGGCCAATCCTGAAGCTATGGGGGTCTACACTGCATGGTGCCAATAGTAGCTGGACTTAGAAAGATGGCTTATCTACCCTAATCCAGATTTTCTCCGTGCTATCCCATTTCTCTTGAGAGTAAGTTTTGGCCGTGTTCCTGGGGCCGGGATGACCTTCTTCCCTTGCTGGAACCTCTCTGTTTTCCAGTTTTCTAGAGGAGAAGAGTCATACTGCTGCTACTAGATTCTGGTGTTTGTCATATTAATCTGCACCACTCTTCACCCTGCCACCTCCACCTAGAGCCTGGCCTGTACTGTGCCCTCTGTCCCTCCTACCACAGGCTCAAATAGGGAGTCTTTGCTGCCCACAAGTGCTGCCCTGGGTGACCCAGTCAGGTTTCCTTGTCTATGGGAGGAAGGCAAGGTGACAGGTTCCGTACCTTTCAGCAAGGTTGGAACAGTCATGAGCTGCGCTGGGATAGGGCATTGCTATACGACCCAAAAGAGATCTTCAAGTCTCCTAGGATGCTCAATACTGTCAGAACAGGGTCAGGAATCTTGGACTCTCGGAAAGCCCACCCTTCCAGATCCACCTGAATTTCCTGGTCTCAGAAATATTTGTTTTATTCTCTAACCAGCTAGTATGGCGGTAGGGTGTGTTTGGCTGCTAGGGAGTATAAAAAGAGAAAAATGCTTACTTTTTAAGAAACTTACTCAGTGATGCTAGGAAACTTTCAAGAAAAATGAGACCCAAGGTAGTAGGACCTAGGAGGAATAGGATACAGAAACTATCCTCAGAGAGATTTTTGTTGGCTGGACATTCATTTGTTTCTTCTTTTTCTCAAAGTCGCTTTATTTCCCAGAACCCTTCATTTCCAACTTGTTCCTTCACCTCCTTTTAGTGGGCTAATAATAGTGTCATGCAACCTTTCCCGGGATAAAGTGGGCTTCAAAGTTCCTGGGGAGGAACTAGGCATATAGAGGACTCCTATCCTTGACAAACATTGACTTGGCCGACCTTAGGGTAGTAGTTGTAGAAGGTAGAGAGCCATGAATTGGAGTCCTTTCTTAACCCTTCTTTTGCTTCCCTTCTCCTTCCACAGTGAGGATGGGGAGCAGGCAGTGGAAGCTGCCAGAAATATCAGGATAGAGAGGGTGTGGGAGAGCCCATTCAGGCCTGACATACGACTGGGACGTGGGGAAGCATGGGTCTGGTACACTGAGTCCTTTGAAGTGACCCAACTGTGAGGAATTGAAAAAGGGTGGGGCTAACAGCTGGAAGACAGAGGTGATCAAATGATTTCTTAAACATCTTGTCCTTTTCTCTGGACCTACAATAATTAACTATGTGAGTCCAATCTCTCTCTCTCTCTCTCTCCCCCGCCCTCCCTCCCTCTCTTCCCCTCTTCCTCCTTTCATCAAAATGGTGTTCCAGATTGAAAGTCAATAAATCCAATGACCAAAGCAAATCCTATAATCAAACCAAGAGGTCAGCTTTCTTTCCCCCTTTTTCCTATTGAGCTTGTCTGCTCTTTCCTGTTCACTGAGCTACTCCTCTTGTCTGTCTCTTGGCTTTGAGGATAGCATTATTCTGGGCTGACCAGGGTAGCTGGACCAGAAATTAATCTTGTTGACGATATTAACTATGACTCTGGTGCCAAGGAGAGTCAAAACTAAAGGACCGGCATAAGGGAGGAGATTGAATTGAGAGGGCAGAGAGTCCCTGTTTTCCCATTTCTGCCCAGGTAGTGCCAATCAATGAGAAGCCACAAGCAATACCCTTTTGAAAGGAGCAGAGAGTATCTCTTTGATACTCTCCATGGCGGGGCTGGGGTGTCAGGCTGCTGCAGCCCGAAGGCGGGGGTAGCGGGGGGTGGACTATGGAGATGAGCTTATTGCACAGAGCTCTACTTGTTATAGATCTTGTCCAGATGGGCCAACTGCACAAATCTGCCCTGTTGGAAGTCTCAAGAACAATGCCCTGGAGACAGCTAGCACTGAGCAATAGAGCCTGCCCAACTGGGACTCAGCTCAGGGCATCAGCTGGTGCTGGGAGCCAAAGAAGCCAAAGTACCAACCAACATAATAGCTCAAAGGAGTTCACAAAGCTACTCAGAGGCAATGCCAGGTGGAAGGTACTGTCCCTCCCTCTCAGAGCCCCCAAGTGGAGAAGGGAGACACATGGTATCAGAATCAGGTGCAAATGGATTTCATTTTCTTCACCCTTCCCACATACGCGGTGGAGGGGAATGTTGGGTCCCACTGGAAGCGTGTGACACCTAGCAATCCATTCAGTCATGAAATTCTTAAACTTGGGACCCTCTCAGAACAGTGAGCTGGCAGGAGGTGACATAAGAGACTCGCTTGGAGGTCACTTCCATTTATCCTCATCCTTATAGTACTCATTCCTCCAGAGACCCACACTGCTTTCTGCCTGGATCACATATGAAGTGATTTTGAGTTTTAAAGCAGCATATTTTCTAAAGGGGAAAAAACTTCCTATACTAATAAGGTGTTTTGGGTGTTTTCATTAATTCATTGTTAATGTCAGTTAAATATTTTACACATAAATTTTTCCAGAGAAAGGGCTTTGTTTATTCAGTTGTCATTGAGGCTATCAGCACCTCCATCTTCCCTTCCGTTTGCTCTGCTCTTTGGAAAACCAGTGGTCTGTCTTCCTCTTTCCCCTCGTTCCACTAGCAGGGCCTCTTGCTCTCCCAAAATTCACAATCAAATCAAAAAGAGCTTTCTATGTGGAAGAAAGGTAGTGAACACAGTTTATTCCTTTTCATTTCCTCCACAAGCCTTTTCTCCCCACCTATCACCAAAGAACTGACACTCTTCTAGTTGAAATGTTAAGTTGATCCCTGAGCTATTTTCCCATTTCACCAAGCCATGTAAATATCTCAACTTTGTCCAGAACATACTACCTCCTGAGAATCTATGTGTCCCCAATTGCCTCTCTTCATTCTTGATTTACTATTATCAATGTTTTCATTATTATTATTATTATTATTATTATTATTATTATATGATTATCTTATCATTTCTAGCTGTCAAAATCTTAAATTCAAATTCACTATGTTGGGATTAAAGATCTCCCTAGCCTGCTCTGCTGATGAAAGACAAATCAGCCAAGCATGGGAACTGCCAAGGGATTAGGAAGTCAGGTAGTATTATCACTTGCTGAATGGAAGAAATGTAGAATAAGCTCCTTGAGGGCAGGAACTGCCTCTTATACAACTGTTTAGCCCACACAGCTTTGGCTACATAGCAATACTCAGCACGTATATGTAGAAGGAAAGCATGACTTCTCATGTGGTTTATTATATACTACATTTCTATTCATTCTCTTTCCATTAATCTGTTGATCACAGAAAAATAGACCTGGAAGGGAACTTATAAAATCAGACAGAGTTCACACACACATGTGCATGCACACACACACACACACACCCAAGCTGGTCCAAAAGTTAAGAAGACATCAAAACCTGGTAAATTGCATTGTTGAATAAAGAATGATAATGATCTGATTAAACATTAATAATATTCCAAATATGGAGACTAGTATCAAGCTATATCTCAAAAACCAATCACCAAATGAAAAGTCTAGCAGTGACAAGTGAGTACAGTAGCAGAGATTTTGGCAGTACAACCATCTGCCTTTCTCTGCTGCACATGCTGTTCCCACTGAAGGGATAACAATTAGACTGTCCTTCCCAGCCTCACACTCCATGCTCCATTATGCCTCACATCTAGTATAACATTTACAGTCTACAAACTTGGACTGGTGGCATCAGAACAACTTGTCAACAAATCTGAGACCTGGAGGAGGGAGAATATCTGAGCTAGGGGCTTTCTTGTTCACAGAGCATTCTCTCCATGAAAGAACGAAGTATGGCTGCTGTCATGCAGCCACCTCAAAAAGTCACATGAGAACTCGGCTATTGCTGCCCAGCATGAGTAGCTCTGTTTTTCTCGGTCTCTGCTTTCACCATGAGGTTTTCTACAAATGCCCTGGCTGCATTATACTGTGTGGTGCATTACCAAGGAAGTATATGCTGTCACTACCAGCTCCCTGGCATAAGGGCAATTCTTACTATCACTTAAGTTCAGGGAATGTTTTGCCTTACAGAGCTGGATCTAGAAAAATATGCACATATTCTCTATTTTAATAGCTTCCATTCATAACAGCATAGTGATTAAGAGTGTGGCTTTGGTACCAGAGAGAGCCTGGGTTTGCATTATAAGTCCAACACTCACTAGATAGGGATTCTGGGACACCTCTGGACTTCACCTCCCTCAGCCTTAGATTCCTCCTCTAAAGAGCCATTGGAGGTCTCTGAAAGATCCAACACACAACAACTGTGTGGCCTTGAGCAAATCATTGAACCTTTCTGTGATTCAATTTTCACATCTGTTAAATGAAGGCAATATCAGTACCTACCTCATAGGGTTGTTGTGGGAATTAAATGAGATAATGTAAGTAAAGTGCTTAACTCAATGCTTGGCCCATAGTAAGTGCTCAATAAAGATTAGCTATTACATGACCAGACCACATCATTGTAGTCTGTCTTCTACCCTGTCAAATTTCTAGCATGTGGGCCTGGTTGGAACTTTAGATTTCTATTCTGTGCCTCTCATCTTGCTGAGTTCACACTCAGAAAAGTGGTCAAAAATCACCTCTCGGGGCTGGCCTGGTAGCACAGTGGTTAAGTTCGCATATTCCACTTTGGCATCCTGGGGCCCGCCGGTTTGGATCCCAGGTGTGGATCTATGCACTGCTCGTCAAGCCATGCTGTGGTAGGCATCCCACATATAAAGTAGAGGAAGATGGGCATGGATGTTCGCTCAGGGCCAGTCTTCCTCAGCAAAAAAAAAAAAAAAAAAAAAAAAAAAAGAGGATTGGCAGCAGATGTTAGCTCAGGGCTAATCTTCCAAAAAAAATCACCTCTCTTTTATATTTTCAGTCTCTCCACTGTCACTGGATTCTTTCTGCTGGCATATAACATGCTTACAAACTATGCAACAATGGCAAATTGTTTAGTCTCTCTGAGCCTCAGCTTCTTCATTGAGAGAGAAAAAGAGAGAGAAGAAGAGGGAGGAGGAAGTGGAGAAGGGAGAAGAGGAAAAGCAGGAGAAGGAGGGGTAACAGGAGGGGAGGGGAAAGAGGGAAAGTCTCTCCTGTTCAAAATGAAAAATAAAAGTAAAAACCACCATCCTTTTGACCGTGAATTTCTAACTATTGATCTATTGCTTTCCTTCCATTCATCACCAAGTTTCATACAGTGATGTTCTTATTAGAGGTTTCCACATCCTCACAACTACCATTTACTCCTTAACAGACTGTAATCTATCCTTTGCTTTCTTTCCCTTAACTCCCTCCCGAAAATGCTTTTTCCATGTTCCTCACACTGCCTTCTTTATTGCTATATCAAGTCAACACTTTCCTGTCTTAATCTTTCATGACTTCCTGTAACATTTGTCAGAGTCATCACACCTTCTTTGAAATTCTCTTCTCCCTTGGCTTTCACTCTCCAGTTTCTTCTCTCGCCCCTCTGGCCAGTGCTGCTTGGTGTACTTGTTCTCCAGGATTTCATCTTTGGCTTTCACCTCTCTTCCTTGCATACCTACTGCTTGGCTGTTCTCAACTATTTCCAAGGCTATAATAACCTGTATGCTGGTGATTCTCAAATTTCTACCTTCAGTTCAGACTTTCCACAGCTCTAGTTCTGTTTTCCAGTTCTCTGTTGAACATTTCCACCAGGATATCCCAAAAGCACCTCAAACTCAACATGTCTAGAGCCAAACAATTCACAATCTCCTTCAAACTTCCTCTTCCACCTCCTCCTCCAATCTTCCCAATCTTGATGAGTGGCGCTTCCACCTACCCAGTCACCTAAGCCAGAAACCTGGGAGTCATCCTTGACAACTCCTTCTTCTATAGCCCACAGATCAAATCAGTCACCAAGTCCTGTTGAGTCTACCTTCCAAATATTTCTGAAATCTGTCCCTCTTTCTCCATCCTCCCTGACCTCATCTTGGTTCAGCTTTTGATTCCAGTATCATTTCCTCTCCTCCACACTATTGCCAATTTGACCTTTCTGAAACACAAATCCATTTATGACACTTCCTTGCTTTGAATCCCTCAATAGTTCCCTATTGACTTCAGGAAAAAGTCCATATTCCTTAAATTGACCTCCAAGAGATTTTTCTGCTCTGGCCCCTGCCAGTGCCTCCAGCCTCTTCTCTAATTAGTCCCCTTGCTCCCCTAAGTGCACCCCGCATTTGGCCATGCTGATCCACCCACAGATCCCTGAACCCAATAACTCATCCTGTCTGATGCCCTGTGCCTTTGCACATGCTGTTCCCCAGTCTTTAAATGCCCTCCTCTGACCTCTTCTGCCTGAGGTACCACTACTCATCTGTCAAAATTAACCAGATATCAAATTTTCTGTGAAGCTTCCTCAAACCCTTGTTGCCCCGACATCCAGACAGATTTGGGTTCTCCAACAATGCCCTGTACATAGCTCTATATTTGTACTTGGAAGATTAGATAGTGTTCTTTTGTCTGTTTCCTCACACATAAATATGAATTTGAGGTCAGAGATTATAATGTATTTATCTTTGGATTCCCAATACCAAGCTCATAGCATGGAATGAATTAGTGTTTGCTAGATAACTTTTTTGAAGTAGTGAGCACTGTAGTTCTTCAAAAAAATTTTTTCAACCACCCAATTGCAGCATCAGCTCTTACTTTTGCAAGGGTAATGTCAGGAAGACTATGTTATCAAGGTAACAAGTAGCCTTGTATTCTTTTCCTTTTCAAAGCACTTAAGTGCCATGTCATCCTCAAAGAAAAACATTGAGGTAAAATAACCATGTATCCATGCAAGAGATAAGAAAATGAGACTCAGAGAGGCCAAGTGACTTACCCAAGTCTCACCACGAGTTAGTGACAGAGGCAAAACCAAAACCCAGGTTTCCTATTTCTCAGTTCAATGCCTTATCTACTGGGCAAAGGATTTTCAAAGTCAACTTCAAGGAGTCCTAGAACAGGCAGCCAACCACCCCCCCCACACACACACACACACATACACACTATATACACATTTCAGTCAGAGTAACTCTGCTTTCAGCTGATATATGTACTTCACCATAATATTTTGTTCAGAGTAGGAGTGTGGGGAGGGGCAATGAGGGAGTTTACTGCTGCTTTAAAGTATTTGAAAACAAAAAAACTTTCAGAGATAATCCGTTTACCAGGTCAAAGGGTGTTACAGCTGTATTACTTGGATAATAGTATAGAAAGACCTTATTTTTTGACAATAGGGCAAAATGAAGGGCAGTCATGACAAAGGAATCTAACAATTGGGGGTCTTTTTGACTCTAAGCTTCTCTTCAAATTATCAACCTACGAAAGTCCTGAATCCTTATCAGACCCCCTCCCCCTACATTTACTAACAATGCCTTGCTGACTGATCTCAGTCTTATCAGTCCTCAATTTAACGCTCATCCCTAACTATTTCAGGCAGTGAGAAGCACTGTTATAAAGACAGCCCTGACCATCAGAACGGCAAGAAGGCTTGGGACTTTGGTCACAGCAGCACATTTACTATCTTGACTGCATTTACCACTATTCCCACACAGAGAAACAAACAATTGGCTCTTTTAGAAAACTAATCTCTCATGGGATTTCCCATAAGGCAACTGGGTCAATGGATCACAATGTCTTAGAATTCTAAAACCTGGCACAACAGAGCTGGAAGGGCCTTCTGAGATCATTTAGACTGGTCGGCTCATCTGACAACATGGGGACACCAAGGGCCTGACTGGGCAAAGTAGAGGCCATAGGTGAGGTTTAACTCCATTTTTTTTTCAACTTAGTTGAATCTTTGAAGGGAAATATTGAAATAGAAAGTGAAGGACCAAAGTGTGTCATAATTTATTAGCTCCAGAGGCTCAGTTCTGAGACTACTCTGACATGCACACTGTGGCAGATTCAAGGCCAAAGGTAATCTGCCGCTAGGAAACTGTCTCTGTGATGACCATTCAGTCCCCAGTCTCTGCCACCTTAATCTGTTGGCTTATACCCATATTAGATGCCCACAGTCCCCATAGAAAGAGGATAGCACAAATCTTGGCAAGAGTTAGGATATTACAGGTGTAAAATGGTCGTGCCAAGCTCCAAATTCTACAAACTCAAGGTGTCCTCTTCCAGGGATCCTTTGTGAATCCCTTAGACTTATACTTCTTTTAGCCTTTCCCTGATAGAAACATAACCTGTTATCAGTATTTGACTGGCCTAAGCTTCAGGTTGGTCCTTTAAGGAAGGACTCAGTGTGGTTTCTCATTAATATACTGGTATCCTATAAAATATACTGCATTGATTTTGGAGTTAACCCTTCCTGTCCTATCTCCTAGGATTTCAATTTCCAGGTGTATGAACCATCTTAACCCAAGGCTGCCTAACAGAGTAGAGCAATGAATCATAGAAATTAATCTCCTTCATGTCTTTCTGCTACTTATGTAGTCTCTCTCCCTGATATTCTGGTGGTGGATTCATGTTCAGGGTAAGGGATTCAAGGGAGAGAGAGAAGGTCAAAACTAATGAATATATCTTCAAAGCATCACTGATGCTATGTCTGATGTTATCCCTCAACCAAGAGATAACCAGTTAGGACTGCAGCCACAAAGCAATATCTCCCCTTTACCTTTCCCAGGGGTGCACTGCCTCTCTGACATCCTTATTTGCTCTCTTCCTAACCACCTGGGAACTGAATCTAAGACAAAAAGAAACCATCCCCTGACATTAATCTCTACCCCAGGGTAGGGGTGGGTGCTTTCTGATTGTCTTGGGAAGGTTTCTTGGAGTCACATTTTTGTTTCAGCCACCCTCAGGGGGCAGGACAACTCCTCAATTTTTATTGGGAAATCTAATTCTTTTTCCTGTCATTCCTTGTCTTCCTCCACTCTGCTTTACTCAAGGGGTGCACCTTGGAGGCCTATTTGCCTTATTAAGCTCAGCCTCATAAGGTTAAGGAATGGCTACTGCCTGAATGCCCTTCCAGACATTCTCCACCTTGCCACTTAGCCTCCTTGTGGGAGGGTAAAAGTCTAGTGTGGGTTAGCATAAGCATCCATTCTCTGAGTCTCAATGAGTTCCCAGTTTTACAGAGGACCTACCCCTGAGATTGAGGTCCTTTGTTGGTTCTTAGTGCCCTGAAAAGTCTCCCTAATTAAGCCCAGATAAGGCAAAGCCCTCCACCAGAAATTTGAAGCTATCAAGTGAGTGATCAGTATGAGGGGTTCACTCGGTTGTGAACTCCATTAAGTTAGGAATAAGGTCTTCTTCATCTGTAGCTAGGAGCACAGTGCTTAGAACAATGGAGGGGGGCAACCAATGCCAGCTGAATGAACAACTGCACGTGTGGAAGTAGGTGCACTTGGCCCTACTGCCAAATCTCTCTGGTTGGAGGGACCAATGAGTAAGTTTTCTTGTGTATTTAAAGGAGGGAGCGGTGGGGGAACAGGTAAGGAGACTACATGAGTCCATAAGATAATTTGCAAGCTAGAGTTTGTGGTAAGTTGAGTTTGGAGTTCTCTGGGTTTTGTTTGAATTGTTTTTTGTTTTTTCAAAAGTTGGTGTTGTCTAACGATTTCTTCATCCTCTAATCAAAAACTTTTAAAGGTTTCCCTTTGTCTGTGGATGTAAGAACAATCTCTTCAGGCT